GCTGCTATTATTAAGCAAGAATGCTTTCAAAAGGGACAAGCTCTAATAATTCCAAATTGTTGAGTGTAACATGTCATGACAGGACGAAAACGCATTCACGGTAAGTATCTCTCGTTGTCCCATGCAAAGCCTTAGAAAACTTTTCTAAGGCTTAGTGTGAGACAACAGGAGGTACTTACAGTGCACACACTTTCCATCCTGTCGTGAACCACACAATTTGTAGTACATGGTATAAATGGCAAGTGAGTGTCAGTGGCTGTGGCCACACTACAGCATTGAATCCTATTTAAGGTATATCTCTAATCACACTTAAGTTAATTCCCAAGTACTATGGTACCCCAAAAATGTCTTCAGAGATCACGGTTGACAAGAATGTAATTGATACCACAAAGACTTTAAAGACCAAAAGTGCATTTTACAGCATCTAAAAAAGTAGGATTTATCTCAAGGTTTATCTAAAGCTTGTCAGTTGAACCAATCATGTGCTTGCACAAATATTATTATTACCCACATGGTTATGCATGTGCAAAAGTTTTGCCCTTGAGAAATATTCATTTAAAAGCCCCGTCTACACGTTGAGCAATTTTTATATGGCAATTTTTAAGTGGCAATTTTTAAGTGGCAATTTTTAAGTGCCAATTTTTAAGTGGCAACTTTTAAGTGGCATTTTTTATTTGCCCGTGTCAGTAGATGATGAAAAATGACCAATTTTTATGAGACAACTGCATTTGCTGAAAAGCTGGCCATGGCGTGTTATTTTTTATGTGGTAAATAAAAATTGCGGCCTAAAAAAAATTGTCCGTGTAGACAAGACGCCACATAAAATGTGACAAACATGCCTAAAACTGCAACACGTCTGGCACATCTCCTGACTTTCACCATCTTGCTTTTTTCCTTTCCATTCTTTTTTCCATTTCATCTATCTCCAAACTAATGTAGTGGATAAAATGCATTGTGGGGGGCTGTATGTCCTTGCAGCTAATTTACATTCATTTAGTGAAACAGGTGGGTGTTTTTTAACAAGGGAAACATACCTCGTAATCAATATCAGAGCAAGTAAAAGTGGATCAAAATTTATGACAATTATAATGCCATAGGGATGGCTAAAAGAAATTTTCAAAAGCCTTGGGAATGAAAAAAGATTCTGGAACACATGTTAGCACATTACCCCCAAATACAAATTAAGGCAGACAATGAGTCCAGAGCACTGTTGCAAAAGCTTTTTTTTCTTTTTTTTTCTTTTAAGTACTTTGTTTCTCATTTTATGGTTTCTTCAATTAATCACACTTTCATTTTGCATATACTATCTACCTAATTATTGGCTTCACTATTCTAGTTTTCAAAGACTTTCATTGACAAACAACCAAGTGGTCTTCATCTTTTAAAAAAAATTGCTGATTAGAAAATGCAATTCTATGTATTAATATAAACATCAATTTTCAATCATTAATATTAATATGATAATGGTTGAAATAATAATGATGATAAATATTAAATGTTAATGCTTAACATTGATCTTGACAATGATAATGAATATATGGATGAGGGTCCTGGTTTGAGCTGGTGATTAACTTTAGGAATGGCTAAATTTAACAGAAAAATCCTACCTTGCCTCTCTCTATACCCTCCTCTCTCCACTTTTCACATTGCTGTGGATACTTGATGCAGTTTTCAAAATGTTGCTAAAAAACAATCAAATCAGATGAAGCTACTAAAACCCAACCTCTTAACGGACAAAATGCAACTTACTAATTTTTTTTTTTTTGGGGGAGGGGGGGTATTTGATGCTAATCTTCCTATAATTCTTTTCTTCCATTTTGAAAATGTAGGAGTTATAATTGATATAAAGAAGGACTAAAATATGGCAATAATGAGAAAAGGTGACTGAATGGTCAAATAATAATTACCATTTCAAATTCTTTTAATGACCAAAAATTTTTTTTTTGTAAATATAACAACAAAACAATCATAAAAATTAATTCACTGTGCTACTATCTATACATAAAACAAAATGTCATAGGCTATAGCAATTTACACAATTGGGTCACAATAAGGTGCATACTGTGTGAATAACATAACCAAGTCAGTTTTAAAGTTATACCTACCTTCGATTCATTCCACAAAACTGCCTCATTACAATAATCACATAGGATTTTCCTGAGCAAACACTCTGTTGCCATGTGCTGCTGCAGATCTTTTCGCTTTACTTCCTTCTTGCAGTCATTATAATTGCAGCTGACCATAACATATGGACACTCACTTTGGTGATCCTAAGGTGCAACAAAATAATTTAACACTATATTTCTCCCGGGAATGATCAGCACTTGCATGTGCCCCCCAACTTCAGACTTAATCAACCGGACAGAATATGCCGAGTACCAATAGTATCCATAGTCTATGGTGTATGGTTTGAATCAAGCATGCAAGGCTGAATTCTCCAGACTAACCAGAAACAAATGTTTCCTAAGTTCGGATAGTTTTCAATCAGATATTACCCTGCCAAATTGAGCCAAGGTTTATACTGACTGTCACTAAGGCTTACTTTTGTTTTTGCAATGAAACAAGATGAAACAAAATAAAAATTGTTTCTTCTAGAACTGAAATATTTTTCTGATGGGAGGTTTTTAATTTTGAAAATAAAATGAAAAATATTGCTTCTTTCGTAAATGAATAACTGTGCTTGTTGTTCTCTGAGCAGGTTGATAATGAGTTGTTCCAATTACATCCAATTTTCTATAGCTAGCCTATTCCTTCAAGATTGGATAAAATACATATCCTCTTGACTGCTGTTAATTTTAATATCTTACAATTTCCAATTTAAAGAAAACAAAGGTGCTATTCTTCCCCTTCAAGAACATGGTTTCAATCTCAGCAAGAGAGAGTTTCGCAAAGCTGTTAAATTATGCTATGATTGGCTGTTCGATGACATTCCATCAGTGTGTGTGTGGGGAAAACTTCACAGTAGACCACGCAATGATTTGCAAACGAGGAGGCTTTGTTATCCAACGGCATAATGAGTTGAGAGACCTCGAGGCTAACCTTTTGAGCATGGTGTGTACCGATGTCAAGGTCAAGCCAGTTCTCCAAGACATCACTTAAAAACAACTCAGCAGAGGGTCTAACAGAGCATAAGACACAAGATTGGACGTTCGAACGCGTGGCTTCTGGGATCCCCAGAGCTCAGCAGTTTTCGATGGAGGGTTTGCCACCCTAATGCCGAGTCTTTCAAGGACTGGGAACCGCAGCAGATTTATCGCATCCATGAAAATGACAAGAAGCGGCTGTACTTAAGGAGAGTGCTGGATGTTGAGCATGGCTCGTTTACGCCGCTTGTATTTACAACTACAGGAGGGATGGGGATGGAATGCATAAGATAACACAGCCGATTGGCCAAGCTGATAGCCGCCAAGAAAGGGGAACGATACCCGCAAACAATTTCCTGGATCCGAGCAAAGACATCCTTTGCCCTCCTTCGGTCAGCCTTAGTTTGCCTTCGAGGATTGTGGGTGAAGCGCTGCGCTGCATATGACTATAGTAATTGAGATGTTGAAATCGCAGCTGCCGAGGGAGCCATTGACATTGTTTAATGATTTTTAGCAGCCTTGTATATAGGGTTCTAGATTTGCCATTCACCTTTCTCTTTTCTGTATAGTTTTAAATATGCTTTTACTTATCAGATTATTAGACTTTGAATCTGATCAGATTTGACTCCGTTATTTATAGTTTTCCAGACGCTTTGACAAAAAAAAAAAGAGGAGTAGATGTGAGCCGAAAGTGAGTTATTTTGTATCGTTTTTTACACTGTTAATATTTTGAATTGTAGAGGATTTTATGTAAATTATTGCTAAATAAAACTGTTATTAGTAAGGTGCTATTCTTGGAGTTCACATTCCCAATCAGCAGAGTAAAGACAGCACAGTTTTTTAAATTGAGTTGCGGACATTTTTTGTAGACTGTTTTTTGTGGACCGTAGACAGAAGTGAACTGAACTGGAGGTGATTTGTGATGTTCCTCCCCACCCCTTGGACCCTTTGCCTTTATAGCAAAGTCCAGATAAACTTCAATGTTACCATAGGGAAGTGCAAAGAATAAAATGTTTGTATGGTGTAATAACAATAATAATAATAATAATAATAATAATAATAATAACAGTTTATTCACAGTATATCCACATAAAAGGTGTGGCTCTTCATCTGTGAAAGCCTATGATACTAATATTTAATTTTAAAACTAAATTATAATGACTAACTAAATTGTAATAAAAACTATACATGAAAGTAAATATGTAGAATATATTGGTTGGTGGTGGTGGTTGTTTCTATATTTTTACAACAAAGACAAAGCTTGCGCCTTTAAGAATGCCTTGCAGAGCCTGCAGTATTCTTTAAAATCTGCGCAATTCCTTATATTTGCTGGCAATTCATTGAAAATCATAGCTGCTGAATGCTGAAAGGTGCCTTGTACAAATGGAACAGAAAGCCTTGGAGCAACACTGGAACAGAGATGTCTAACGGGTTTAATGACTTGCAAATTTAAATGGGAGGGCCAGTTATCAGAATACAGTGCTTTAAAAATAGTCTTTAGTAGTGAGTAGTCCCTTAGCTCCAGGATAGGTAGCCAGCCAAGATCCAAAAATGTTTACATATTTACAAGTGATGAAACTAGCCATAGCAAACTGGAGCCTTTGTAGTCTAGCTGAGAGGAATGTTTCTACCAAATGTTTCCGTACTTTAAAATTAGTGAAGTTCCTTATTTTTCTTAAGGTTCTCAGAGTTGCATAACAAGATTTAAGAATAGAACTGATATGAAATTCCCATTTAAGATTTGAGTCAGTGTGTACTCCCAGGAGTTTTGTAACATTCATATGTTCCAGTGGTTTACCAGAGATTTCTAATCCCATCTCCAGATTTCTGAGATAATGTATATGAACCATTTGTGGAGTTGAGATAAGAATGCCCTTAGTTTTCTTAGAATTCAGGGCCAGGTTTGAATCATTTGACTAGGTGCCGAGGCCTGCCAGGGTTGCATTCATGCTTTCTGCTTGAGATGTACTCTGGGGTGTAGAACAGCTAGAGTATAATGCAGTATCATCAGCATATTGGAAACTTTTGATTGTAGGTGGAAGAATATCTTGGAGATCTGCGACATAGAGATTGAACAACATCGGTCCAAGGATTGAGCCTTAGGGGTTTCCAAATTCGGAGAGCAAGGGTGACGATTGCGATCATCAATTTGAATGTAATGTCTCCTGACACATAGGTAATTAGCCAACCAATGAATTAACATCAAGTCATAATTTTGCAACTTCTTAAAAACACATTATGGATTGATAAGCCAAAATGTTCACAACTAAGGACCTCCATCAGATTTCTTGTACATACTACCAAGTTCACAAGACAGACAATAGAGTCACCCATACTGGAAAGTCCCTGAGCTTATTTGAGTTTGTGTTGGTAGGTATGTTAATCATTACTTAATTATAATTAATTGTACTTTTCCTTT